GAACTTTCTGTGAGGGAGCTTTTAGAGGGGGACGTCTGGTTCCTATCACCACCACTGTGAACAGTTCTGACTCGGTAAGTTTCTCTAGAACAGAGCGTTTCACACCAAACCACTCTGAACGACTCTGTTTACATGTTTAATTATGGATATTTCGAAATAGGATGAATTTCCACCTTAGTTCCACCAAACTGTATGGCACCAAAAAAGGTTCTTCTATTGTTACAATGTCAAGCCTGTCACAATACAAGAACCCCTATATGGAACCATGTACAACACAATCTCCATCAATCTGAAAAACCATTTCGCCATCCAAAGAACCATTAAGCATGGTTCATTTTACTCTTGGTTCTAAATAGAATAATTTCCTTTACTAAAGAACCCTTGAGGAACCATCTTTTTAATAATGGAGAACCCTTTTTGTGGTACATAGAACCCTTTTCAAAAAGGTTCTATATAGCACCATATAAAACACATACTCTTTCAATGTGAAAAACCATTTCATCATGCAAAGAAACGATTAATCATGAAAAGGGTTTGAGTGCAATGTCTTTATGGTTCCACATAGATTTTTTTTTCCTTTACTAAAGAACCGTTGAAGAACTATCTCTTTTAAGTGTCTAAGTATTAACCAGGTATGTGAGAGGTACAAGCTTCAAAGTACTAGGTGACTGTTTGGGGTAAAATGATGTAAAGTTCCAAGACAGACAGACCAAATTACTCTGTAACAACAGGTGCTTAGGCAGTGAAATAGCAGTGAAATAGTTTAAATATAGGTAATATGTCGCTGTTGTTGGAAGAAAACCTTGTATCTCCATTTTTGTCATGTTTCATTTTTTGACATAATGTGAAAATGCCTGTTGCCCTTTACATTATATGTGAAATTCATGATGAATGGACTAAGAAATGACCCAAAATGACTTGGAAAAATGTCTGGTTCCTCTGACTTACATTAACAGTAAAGTAAGTTTTTTCCTTCTCCTGTAAAGCTACCAATTCGGCCACCTCACTTCCGCTTTTCCGTAACTCATCTTTCAGCCTAAAATTCAGCGTATAAAATTGTACAAAACATAAAATATATGTATATATTCGTTAGTAAAATGTGACGTTATTGTATTGTTTCATTATTCAGCTTGATTTGCTTGTTTATCTAAGTATAGAGCTCAGCTCTTTGCTCCGTGCCTGATTGTGCCAGTCAAATGAGAAATCACGTTTACACATAATTCCTACCAGATTCAGTGCTTTACAATGGTTTACAATGAGGTTAAGTTTGTCCTCTGTGGGCACCCTTACTCCATATACGTAACACCACCATGGCGGCAAACTTTTTTTACCTCAGAGCAGAGAAAGCTAACCGGTTAGATAACTTTCTACACAGACGAATATCCATCGCGGAATCAAATGATGCAGAATTACAATGTCATTAGTAATACTTAAATATTGTTTTCAGACATGATTTTTTGCTAGAATAAAGTTTAAATGCCCTTGTAAGGCGTGAGCCTGAGCAATTGGCAGAGAGAGAGAGATGAAATGCGCAATATGCGCAAGTGGCCGATATTGGGGGACGGCTGAGATTAGGGGTAGCTACGTTAGCTTAGCTGCATGTTATTTTGGGTAAAAAAGAAACACTCACATCAGATCAATATGCAGTATCTGTGTTTTACCTTTTACCTACAAAGAAAACTGATTCTGGGCTGTAAAAGAGGACAGTGGGCCTCATTCACCAACCATCCTTACAAAGACATTTCGGTAACACTTTCTATGAATGTCACCTTTATAAGCATCTCTAAACACATTCATAACATGTTATAATGCATTCATAAGCCATTATAAACATAGCTATAAATATTTATAAAAATGCATTATACATTATAGTTATGCTTATTATGCATTATGAATTGTTAACATAATACATTATAAGTACTGTTCATAACAGATTATAAGAGCTCATAAGTGGTATTTGTCCGCTCTAAGTAAAGTGAAGCGTACTGTACTAAAGCCTCCTCCAGTGTTCAGAGTGAGGCTTCAAGTTGAAGTATTTACTGAAGGATTTACTGAAACACTAAAACATTCACAGTAAAGCACATTACAGGCTTCAAATGTCAGAGTTTAAACTAGAGCTGCCATCAGTGTTTTACCCAATGTGGGAAAGGTAATGTTCACCACCGTTAGCTTGGTATTTGTCTTTACTTTCCGCTCTCCAAGCTGGGACTGACTTCTTTGGCACTGACATTATAACATGTTATTAACACTATTTATAATGCATTATATTAACACTTCATAATGTATAATAAACATGGCTATAAAGTGTAATTCAGTGTAATTCTTTTTTATAAATATTTATAATCATGTTTATAATGCCTTATGAATACATTATAGCATGTTATGAATGTGTTTATAGATGCTTACAAAGGAGACATTCATAGAAAGTGTTACCGAAATTTCTTCTCAAACCCCATTTACGCAGCTTTGATGAAGATTCCGACTCACCAATGTTCTCTTATGTGGGGTTTGTTCTTAGGTAAGAACCGAAATGTACACACACTCAAGAGCACAAAGGTGAGAACAGTTCTGTGCTTTAAGATCACGTCATGAATCTGACAGAGACTTTTTTTAGGACCTTTCCCAAGAACACGCTTAGAAAGACACTGGAGAACATGGCCCAATGGTTCTTTTTATGGTTTTAAAGAGTCTCTACCGTTTACAGAGTTTTCCCATTTACGTTCCTGCCTAAAGATGGCATTACAGTGGATTTGTTAGTCCAATTAATTAATTAATTAATTAATTAATAATCTAACTGAGATATTTGAGATATATCTTAAACACTGCAGGGATACTTCAGTTCTTCACGTTCATCATGGTCAGATTATCCCTGTAAAGCGACAAACGTTCTGAATAGGATTAAGCTGAACACATAAAAATGTAAAGTGTAGCTGTGGGTTGCTTTGGGCTCCAAGCACCTTCTTGTGGATAGTCGACACTTTGCAATTACTAGTGCTGATTAGTGTCCACCTGACTGGTTCAACAGCAGAGAAGGGTTTTAAATTATGGTGATGAAATACAGCTTTCCTGACTCTGTGCAATCAATTCTATAAATCAGAAGGAGCAGCTGCTTGTATAATTTAGACAAACATTGATTTTTAAAGTTGTGAATCCTAAGAGGTCTGTATTTTGACACTGTTAGAGATTAGGGATTCTGTTCTGCTGCTGAATGTTGATGTTAAACCAATTCCTTTGTGCACACTTTGATGCAAATGGAGCAAATGGCCGACGGCTAGTTCTCAAAATACATTTCGTGTACTAAGCAAATTACCTTGAAATTAGGTACAGCTGAAGTTCATGAAGCATTATTGACCAAAGCATAAAATACTGTGCTATAGCGCCACCTTCAGCCCCGCTGTGGTCACTTCATTTTCCTGAGGAGGGTCAGGGATTCAGAACCTTTCCACCAAATTTGGTGTTCCTACACCTCACAGCGGTTCTACACTGTCCCATCATGTTTTAGGGAAGGAGAAGAAGACAGAAGAGGAAGAGGAAGAAGACAAAGGAATAAGACAAGAGAAGATAGAAGAGGTGGACATAAGAAAAAAACAGAAGATGAAGACAACAAGAAGAAAAAGAAGGTCAAAGAAGACAAAGAAGATAATAGAAGACTTTAGAAGAGGAGGACAAAAGATGAAGTGGAAGACCGAACACAAAAGGAGAAAACGGTGGAAGAAGAAGAAGAGGACAGAAGATAAAGAGTTAGAACAAAGAAAAATAGGAAAAAAGAAAACAGAACGAAAAGAAAGAAGAATGAAGAAGAGGAAGACAAAAGAAAAAGAAGACAAAAACAGAGGATCCAAAGACAGAAGAAGAACAACAGGGAGAAGATAAAGACAGAAAAAGAAGTGGAAGGCAGAAGAAGAGGAAGAAGACAAAAGAAGAGGAGGACATCAGACGAAGAACGAAGACATAAGAAGACAGAAGTATAAGATAAAAGACAAAAGAAGAAAAAAAAGAAGAGGAAGACATAACAAGACGGCAGATGACGACAAGAAGAAAAAGAAGGAAGAACAAAGAAGATAATCAAAGACATTAAAAGAAGAAGACAGAAGACAGAAGACAATGGAAGATGATGAAGAAAAAGAGGAGAACGATGAAGAAGACAGAAGTGGAAGGCCGAAAAAGGAGAACAAAACAAGATCAAAGAAGATAATAGAAGGCATTAAAATAAGAAGACAGAAAAAGAAGAGGATGAAGACAAAGACAGAAGAAATGGAAGAAGACAGAAGATAAGGACACCAAAAGATGGAAGATGAAGACAAGAAGAAGAAAAAGAAGAAAACAGAAGATCAAAGAAGGCAGTAGACGATGAAAATAATAGTCATTAAAAGGAGAAGAAAGAAGATGAAAGTCTTTCTCTTCTTATGTAACACTAAAACAACAGTACTGTTCCAGTTTTATGTGCTTTGAATCCCTAAAAAATCAAAGATGGTGATCAATCTCCACATTTATCAGACCTGCGTTAACTTGTCCTCGAGGTCGTGTAAACATGGTCTCCTCTTTGGATTCGTGATGGTGTCTGTCTGACCCACAGTAACAGTAACAGCAGCAGTGCAGCTCACTGACGGGCAGCACTCATGTATTTTTAACTGGACATTTAGTTTGGCTGTAGCCGGCAGTAACAGGGCTGCTGTTCATCTCAGCAGAATGGAATTCTGCAGCGATCACTCTCCGAGCTGACAGGCTCTTAAAAATACACGGCCTGCATTTATGGAAGACAAGGCAGCCCAGCCGAACAAGCTGGAACTGTGTAGCCGCATAATCTCGGCACAAATCAATGGGAAGAATTCGATACGCTGAAGCGGCGAGCGCGTCAGGAGCGCGCCGGTTCTGACAGCCCAGCGCATCTGCTCCAAATGAGCTTTCGGGAATTCCGTTCGAGGAACATCCCTGCGGTTTGAAATGCACATCCAACAACGCTACACATTTGCAAAACATTCCTTTATTATAAATAAATCTTTTTTTTTTTTTTGTATAAAAACTAGCATGCGTCATCCATGGCATGTACAGCGTCACAACCCCAAGCTATGGTCCAGTTAGCCAATACAAGAGACATCTCATCTTGGTATGCAGGTTTCAGACAACGTGGAACAAGAATGAAAAAATCTGCACAATCACAAAAATACTTACAAGAAGAATAACAACAAACATTGGTAGTTTTTCATATAGTTTCTCTTTTTATATCCACATTTTCAAAAAGTTTATTTCCACGTCTCTTTTGTTTTTCTTTCTTTTTTGCACAGTAGCATGTTTACATTTTCTTTTTTGTGTGTTTTTTTTTTGTTAATACTTTTAATATTTTCATTTTCCCTTTTGTTTGTCACGTCTGCAGACCTGCGTCTCAGTTTCTCTGTGTTTTTTCTCTGTGAGTGCGGCAGGATCGTAGCTCTAGATTGCAGGATGAGGTCTCTGACTGGTTCCTCGTGTCCGGCCGGTTCGAGTTTGATGCACAATGATAGGAAAAAGTCTCATGCTTAGTTGCCCGTGGGAGGTCCAGCTGCCAGTCCGCATCACACGACACGTCTCGGTCTGGACAGGCTCTGCTCCGGCTACGCCCCCTGGAGGCAATCCCACCTCAGATGGCATGATTGCTATAGCTGACGTACGTCGTCTTGGTGGAGGATGCTGCTGGAAGGAGAACAAACACAAACTAGAAATGGAAAGTTCATGAACGAGCATTTGGTTGGCTTGACAAAGCCGTTGCTATGAAGTCTCATGTGGTTGATAAGGTGTTGCTAGGCTGTTGCTATGGAATCCCAGGTGGTTGTTAGGCCACTGCTGTGGGACCCCAAGTGGTTGCTAAGTTAGGGCTATGCTGTTGCTATGGTTTCTCAGGTGGTTGCTAAGGTGTTGCTAAGCCAATGCTATGGGACCCCAAGTGATTGCTAAGGTGTGGCCATGCTATAACTATGGTATCTCAGGTGGCTGCTAAGATGTTGTGAGGCCTTCGCTATGTTATCATAAGTGGTTGCTAAGGTGTTGCTACTGAATCCCAGGTGGTTGCTAATATTTTGCTATAGAACCCCAAGTGGTTCCTAAGGTATGGCTATGCTGTTTCTGTGGTATCTCAAGTGGCTTCTAAGGTGTTGTGAGGCCTTCGCTCTGTTATCACAAGTGGTTGCTAAGGTGGTTGCTAAGCTTTTGCTATTGAATCCCAGGTGGTTGCTAACATGTTGCTAGGCCACTGCTATGAGACCCCAAGTGGTTGCTAAGGTGTGCAATAACTTACCTAATAATTAAATTTTCAGGATGATTACATTTAATACCTTATTACTTTGTTGGATTTTATCATATTTTTGATGAAGTGCAAAGTTTTACTAGATTTTTGGGTTAATTTTATTAAATTATTGGGAAATTATTACATTATAGTCCATAAGGCTACATGCTTCATTAATAAGCTTGTGATGACAACTGGCATAAACGTACATAAACATTTATAAAGGCTTTTTCCAATAGGCTGCTTTTGTCAAATTGCTTAAATTTGATAATTGATGTTACCCTAGAAAGTGTTGCTGCAGCCTAATGTCAGGAAAACATAGATGTTATGTCAACATGATATTAAAATTTAGCACATGCAACCTTTATGACAAATAACACTCATTGGAAGTGTTTATAAATGTCTATGTAGGTCTATTTTGTGATAAAAGGCTTACGTAGGTGGTGTGTAGCCTTATGAACGTTGTCCAGTGTTGAAAATGCCTCTCAAAGCGCCCTTTTTATCACGGTTTACCTGCTTCAGCATGATAAATAGTATAGAATCATTCTAAATTGATTTGCCAAGATGTTGCAGGACATTTCAAAGAGGGAGGTTTTGTGTAGTTCTGTCTGCTAATGAGTAAATAAATAAAGAGTGACCTGAGCCTTGTCTGGGAGAGCAAACTGCTGACTGATATAATGTGTGCTTTCATGTTAGAGAAGGTGCGCCAGCACCTGCAGCACAGAACAAAGCGATTGGCTTAATTACTTCTAATGTGTGTATTCCTCCGTAAAGCCTCAGATCACTTCTGCACCATTAACTATTTGCACACGTTCCCTAATCCCCTCCTTAAAAAAATAATCAAAACGTTTTGGCAGGTTTCTAAATAACGGAGGTCGAAGCAAGTTTAGTGGGTTTTAGCAATGAAACCAGGCACACTGATTTAATGTGTTCATCCGCTTAATTTGAGTGTTATGAGAGACGCGCGGTCATAATCTGACATGATGGAAACTTTTGAGCATGTTGAACAATCAGGCCCATCACTAATGATTATATTAGTAATTGAGTCGTCTATTTTTTGAGATTATTTCATGATACAATCTGTGTATCATGAGAATACTCTACAAACACATTCATAACATGTTATAATGCATCCGTAAAGCATCAAAACCATGGCTATAAATATTTATAAAAATGCATTACACATTATAGCCATGCTTGTTATGCATTATGAATTGTTAACACTATTCATAACAAATTATAAGAGCTCATAAGTTGTATTTGTACACACAAAAAGCTCACTGTAGCAGTAAATCTAGGCTGGACAGCCTGTTTGGAGCATCTGTATATTCAGGACTGAAGCCCTGAAGATGCAGCTCTAACAGCTCCAGCACTGAGAAACAAAATACTGGAAATCTCAGGACGTAAATAAACTCTGTATTTGTCTTTACTTTACACTCTCCAAGCTGGGACTGAATTTTTTGGCACTGACAGTTTAACATGTTATTAACACTACTTATAATGCATTATATGAACAATTCATAATGTATAGTAAACATGGCTATAAAGTGTTATTCAGTGTAATTCATTTTTATAAAGATTTATTTTATGAATGCATTATAACATGTTGTGTTTATAGACGCTTACAAACATGACATTCATAGAAAGTGTTACCGAATACTCTTCTGGAGGTGGTGCTGGATTGAGGCAAAATCTGCCACCGAGTCTACGCCCCTTTAAAACCCTGCCCCCAGATACCTTGGTGTTGTTTTAACATCCGGGGTATGTCGATAGCACAAGCAAGACAGGCTAGCTAGGGAAATGCTATCATTAGCTAACATAATTGCTTTTCATTGTAAGAGGTGATGCTCAATTTTACTGCATGCAGTGTGTTCCACACATGTGATTCATATCTACATGCTTGGAGTTTTTTGGGGGACCTTTCAGCCATGCTACTGTGATTGTCAATCAAGTTGGATGATTTAAATGCCCAAAAGCACCATCCGCAGCTACAGAATGCATGAAAGTAATTATTTTTAAATATTTTGTCTTATGCTCAGCGTTCCTTTAATGAGCTTTCGTAAATGCGTTACTCCATGTCAGGAATCAGCCATGAAATGCAGTCTGGCTTTAGAACTGTCATACTTCTTAAACTGATAAAGCCATGCAGCATTCTTCCAAACATGGAACACCTTCCCTCATCAAACTTGAATGGGGGTCTAAAAGATTTTTGTTATGATAGATCAGTTATTAAAGCTTTAGCTGTTTTATTATTTTAAAATTAAGCAATTTATAAGCTGTACACACATGATATAGAAAGAACTACCAAACCTTAGCGAGAACAACCAAACCACATCAAAACCTACCAAACCATACTAAGAACAACCAAACCATACCGAAAACTACCAAACCATAGCAAGAACAACCAAGACATCACAAAAACTTCAAAACTATACCAAAAGCTACCAAAGACCACCAAACTACCAAACCATAGCAAGAATAAGCAAACAAGACCAAAAATGATTAAACCTGATCAAAATCAGGTTTATCAATCACTATTGATCACTATCAAACTGTACCAAGAACTGCCAAGCTATTCCAAAAATACCAAACCACAACACTCCCAAACCATGTCAAGAAGCACCAAACCCTCTGCCAAACAAAACTACCAAACCATACCAAAAACTACCAAACCATAGCAGGAACAACTAAACCATAGCAAGAAATAATAAACCTTACCAAAATTGCCAAACTATAGCAAAAACTACTAAACCAGGGGTGCCCAGTCCTGGTCCTGGAGATCTACCACCCTGGCGAGTTAGATCCAACACACCTGGCAAGAAAAATTTAAACTATACTAAAAGCTAGAAACCCATACCAAAACCTACCATACCATACCAAGAACTACCAAACCATCCCAAAAGATACCAAACCTTACCAAAAACTACCAAGCCATAGCAAGAACAACCAAACCTTACCGAAAAATATCAAAGCATTGTAAGAATTTTACTAAGAACAAACTGTACTAAGAACTATTAAACTACACTAGGAACTGCCAAGCCATACCAAAATCTACCAAACATCTCAGAAACTACCAAATTATCAAAAGAACAAAGTTAGAGTTTGACAGAGAGCGAAGCCGCTATTTAGAAAGCATGTAAGTTTTCTCCAGTTTAAGCTCCTTCTCTGATAACCGGTCGTGTTCAGATGGGTCACTCTAGAAAGGAGACACTGATATTGATGAAGAGGGTCCATATTTATAGCTCCTTTCTTCTAAAAATGTGCTCAGATGGTGCTGGTGGTGCAGGAAAAACCCCCACCCAGCCCAGTGATTGTATCATCAATGGGCAATGGCTAGGCTTTATTCCCCCCGACATTTAGCCCAAAATTTCTCATGGTTTTGCCCAGACGTTCATGTTACGCAATCAGGTCTGGCCCAGCGAGACTAAGCCCTTCAAAGATTACTCAATACTTTACTGGATAGTTCTTTAAGAGACCTCATTAAAAATATGAAAACATTGTGGCAGCAATATATGTATCTAAAGATGTCTGTTATGGTCATGGTCTGTTTCTTACTGGTACATTTTTGTCCATCGAGGTACACACAGTGTAAATGTTTCCTCAAAGGTACAGTAATGATCTTAAGATCCCATTGTGTACCTTAAATATGTTATTTTCCCCAGGGGAAAAGTAAATATGTGTACCTTTTTATAATCTAATGTTTTCAAATAGAAAAATAAAATAAGAAGCCTGGACAAGGTATGTGGAGTCAACGCAGTTTAAAGCATGAAACTGCAACAGAATATGGTTCAGTCATGTTCCTTAACTAAAGGTACTGCAGATGTACCCTTGAGGGTTCCGCCACAGGGACCGTTTAGTACCTTTTGTCTGAGATTGTAAGTCAGATCAGGAGAATGTATCAATATGTGAACTATCAAATAATCACTGCTAGTTCATCAAGAAGGTACATTTTTTAATCGAGTAATCAAAGTTATTTGATTAATAAGGCCTGATAGCCCCACTTAAAATATATGGCACATTTTCTTGCATATGCGCACTTTTAACGATCCGCAGTGGTCAACTGCAAACTTGGAGTCAGTCTAAATTTGGTACACGAATGTGTCTGAGGCCTGATTCGCACATGCTGCATCTGCATGGCGTGAGCGACGTGGAAAGTCATGCTTTTCATTTCCATGGCTGTGTAAACTGGTCAGTGCTTTCACACAGACTGCGCTTGCGAAGCAGCAGAGCGTCTCAGATGCCGCACTGAAGTGGCGCGGTATTTAGAGAACAGACCCGGTGGCGATTTTTTTCCACATGTCATGTTGCAAAATACACTGAAATAAGTGAAAACTGTCAATATTAAATAGATTGTATACAAACTTAAAAACAGTATAATTTTTTTTTTATTTAATTCATGACGAAATACTAGTTAAACATTCTGTGCTGCAGACAGATTTCCCGGCTCCACCAGGCTTGAAACTTTTTCCTAATCACAAGTTAGAATGCTGTCGAGGATAAACAAACATATTGTGCATTTTAACTTATATTTTTGTTGAGCGAGTGACTGATGTCACTGGAAAAAAGGAATGTCTGTATAACTTTCTCACTGTTTTGCTCTGCAGCACAAACGCCAGCACATTCAAGCTGTAGCGCTCACATTGCCGTGTCGCTCACGCCACGCAGAAGCAGTATGTGTGGATAAGGCCTGAGTGTAGGTAATGAAAGCGACTCACTGTTGGTCTCCATGCTCTCACACAGCTCTGTCTTGACCTCTCCGTTGGGCCGGTCGCCTCCTTTCTGGGTGAGCTTGCCCGACATGGTGGCGGCAGTGACGATGGCCTTGAAGCTGCGCTTGCGCTTGGGCACGTTCTGCTCCGGGTGGAAGATGATGATGTAGACCTTCGGCATGTAGAGCATTCCCAGTGATACAGAGGCGCTTAGGCTTAACGAGATGGTGAGCGTGGTGGTCTGGATGTACATCTGAGAGAGAGAGAGAGAGAGAGAGAGAGAGAGAGAGAGAGAGAGAGCGAGAGATTAAGGGGGCACATAAAAGCAGCACTGTAATGGAAAATTTTTCATATCAGTTTTGAGATACAAGAGCACTTGGCTGCTCATGAGACCAGAGCAAAGGAGATCATTAGTGTCTCACTGAACAATATTTGAAGATACAGCATTTGTGGGTGTTACACATTAGAAGAGCCAAAGCACTTTTATTCCTGTAGAGAAAAATTTGCTGCTTTGATAAATGAACTGTCTTGGGAAGCATCTATTATGCAAGACGTTCCTCCAATAAAACTAATTACTTATTGAAAGGAGTCAGACAATGACCATACAAAGACTGTTAGAACAATCTAGTACGCGTATTTAGACAAAACAACCATGCTTTCTCAGCCTGAGAATCTCACTAGTGATCCTCCAATCCGATATTTAGATACCCACTATAATGAGTGAGTTCAGCTACTTTAAGGTCAACCACTGCTAATGCAGCTTATATAATCTCCCCTGAAAAGCAATGACCAATGGCATGGGACACTCTGGAGAAGCTGCACATGGCCCTCATTTCAACTTGCCCACTGCTAGGCGCGAGCTAGAGAGGCATAAAGCCCCCAGCATTGTCTTTTTAGGCCAACATGAAGAGTAAAATCACTGTAAAGCACAGCCTGATTTAACACATTTTAACACAATCTTTTCACTTCAAACTGAACTGTGAAGCAGACAGCATTAAAAAAGGGTAGCACTTTATTTGGATGCTCCACTTTAGATGCTTGTAGATACTTAATTTACTTTCAAGTTACAATTAACTAAATATCTACTAAATTCATTATAATCTTAACTCTAAACCTGCTCTAATCCTAACCCTGACCTTAACCTCAACCCAAAACCCTCACCCTGGTCCAGATCCCAACCCCAACCCCACCACTGTTTAGAATCAACTGAGTTCAACAGATAGTTTGTTAACAGTTTGAAGATCTGTAGATAATCTGTAGCAGACTGTCCAATTAAGGTGAGACCAGAAAAACTTTATCATTTATATTTACATATTTAGCACATTGTTTTTTCTATTTATTGCCAAGAAATACCAAACCATACAGTTACCCTCTGACAAAGAACACGGCTTCTGACCAGAAAGCATTTTTTTTCCTGTTTACACTTTGGTGGTGCGCTGTTATGTGGACATCCACCAAAGGTCAATTTTAACTGTTTTAGAAATCAGGTTTGAAAAAAAATGTGCTCTGCATTTGGCTGCTACACGAACGCAGCTTGGGTCAGAGGAGAGTGAGCGAGAGTGAAGGAGATGACAGGAGAGTAAGGAGAACTTATGAAGAGGTGAGTGTAGCTGCTACACGTATGTAGTGGAACTGTGAAAGAGTATGTGTCTGTATTTTTGGGTCCTCTTTGTTGGTCGTTCTTTTTGTTGCGGTGTGCTTGGCTTCTTGGTCAGGGTTGATTTCTAAAAGAGACTTTAACCTCAATATGACTACCATGTTATGTTCTCCCAGGTGGTTGCTAAGGTGTGTGTATGCATGTGTGCTAGTACATATGTGAGTCTTTATGTCAGCTTATATCTCATTGATGATCTCTATAATTAACAATAATGATCAGACCCGCTCAGTGACTGGATCACCTGTCAGGTACTGAGAGTTCAGCTTTTAGCTACAGTGAGCTGGACTTCACTACAGGAGTCTCTAAAACTCCGCTCTCTGGTGTCACTCAGTCTTTTTAAACTTTTAGTCTCGAATCACCTTCAGACAGAGTTTAACTTTTCCTTTCCCATCATTATCATTATTATTATTATTGTTATTATTATTACTAGTAGTAGTAGTAGTATTTTATTTATCTTTTTTAATATTTCTATTGCAGCTGTTTTATTTGATGTTAATTTTTTTACTGTTCTATTCTAGTAAATATTTTTTTTTCTGAAATTTTAGTTTTTTTATTATTTACTATCAACGTTGGCTCTTTTACTTCATTTTAATATTTTCTTTATAATATTTTATTGATATTGTATGCCTGTTTTCTATATAAGCTGTTATTATTATTATTATTATTATTATTATTATTATTATTATATAAATATTTTGTCTTGATGATTTCCATTTGTTTAGTTGGTCAATTTTATTTCAAAATTTTCAAGCTCACAGCTACAATGATTTGATTGATTGATTGATTGATTGATTGATGTAATGTAGTTTGAAAACTATGAAAGTGTAGAATGACAACAATCCCTATTTGCAGTTGCACTAGAGATCTGTCTAATATTTAGCTAATAGACTGAGAAATATTTTAAGAAGAAGTGATGTGAGGAGGAGGAGAGACTCGTAGCTCAGGTACCCTGATATGTACAAATTCACAGAGGATAATAAGAGCATAATTTCACTGGTATTCAGTAATTTTCTCCTCAAATTCAGTGTTTATTTCTTGAACTTTAGCTCATCTTTTTTGCAGTGCAGCATGTTTTGTTATCCCAGGTGGTTGCTAAGTATGTATGCGAGTCTGTATAGAATGTATGAAAACTGTGACCTGAGAAAGCGTAGAACGAAAACAGTAGTTTTGTCAAGCCAGCTTAATAAAATGAAAATGATATCACTAGACTGCAGCTTGCCTGTATAAACATAGAGCCTGTAAGCACATCGTTTAAGCCCAATCAAATAGAAAGCACAATGAAGCAGAATGTTCATAAAGTCTCATTCAACGACAACATAATCATCTCTTCTCTTGTGTGATTTGACACCAGCATCTACAGTGAGGAAACAAAAACACACGGTTTAAAAGGAAAAGCAAAGCATTGTGTTTTCCTTCCAGCACGACTCTGCAAACACAAATGCCTGCATTCCAGAGAACTCTTGATGATGTGACAGTGAATAGGAGGCTGACAGCTCGGTGTAAATAAAAAGTGGATTTCAGTGCCACTAAAACTGTGAGATTGAAACTGAAAATCAATTTGCAGCCCACAACATCCTCCCCCTAGAAATGTGGCCCTGTCTTTCAAAACCGCTGGAGTCATTTCTAATACGCAGAGCTATAGTGTGGATATAAAGAATCCAGATGAGTCACACTGCCTCTGCAATCTGAGGCTTCTACTATTACAGGACTCTCTCCAGAGTTCTAGTAAATGCTCAGTTCTCTCACGCCTCTGTCAGATTTGTACAGATGTACATACGGGCATACGGGAAGGTGTTTCATAGCGGTGTGTCATAGTGGTGTTTCATAGCGATGACGCTGTGCAAAATGATTTGCCTTTTTGCTTTTTACTTTTTTTTCTTTGCTAATTTACATCAAGCAGGATGTGTCATACAGTGCTATAATGAGGCGAGAGATGACGATGTTAGGGCTGTCCCAAATGCCATTTTTGGGCCCTGGAGCTTCGGCTGCCACCAACAGTGAATATTTAATTTCAGCTGGGTAAGAGATGTTTGGGCTGAGAAAGTCATTCAGAAAATCTGTGCCGATTGCCCAGGTTGAAAGCACATCTGCAGCTTTATCCTCTGTAAAATCTGAATCTCCAAACTGGCTGCTGTAAAAAGTGTAAATACAGTACAAGAATGTGCTGACAAAATGGATTATGGTGTTGCCATGTTGCTTTGTAAGCAAGGTGCGAAATACAGGGGGTCTTTGAGGGACTGGGACACCCTAATTAACCTCTTGGATGCCCATAATGTCCTAAAATCGAAATTCTGGAGGGTCCCTGAAAACAAACTTTTGATAACGTTATGCTCTGATTGTTTATCTGCTTCCCCCACAACCAGCTTCTGTCTCTGGTGTTCTTAACTAACTAGAGCTGCAGCACTGCTCTGCCTCAGGGTGGCGCTGTAGCAGACTGATTCACTCACTTTACAGAAGAACAGCTGATAAAACAAACATTTATTGACACTGAAGCATCAGAACCGCTATGGAAAGAGAGTTAGCAACATGGGACCCCTGAATACCAGGGGTGATTTCTTACACTGGTTGTAAGCGGTTAATTTTTTATAAAGAGAAGAAATGTTTATGTTGGGCTGTTTCAGGTTCATTCCTACAAGGACTTTAATGTTGAAGAGCCTGAGTTTTGGCAGGGGGGGTGGGTTGTGGTGGGTTCCTGTGTAGAGCAGAGGGCTGTGTTTTTAGCTGTTAGCGCTGGAGAGGCTGTGTTTCTTCTCGCTATGTTTGGCGTTGTTTTAAGCAAATTATAAAATAAAGCTGCATTATAGACAAAAAAGTATATCTAAATTCCAAAATTTAAAACTGAATATCTGAAAAATTGAATATTTGGGTCCAGCCCTGAACAATATCTACATCTAACTGATACATCAAATCACTGAAGCACATCTGGATGAACTTTATGCAAATGAACTGATCGGTGACCAAACAGATTGTTGATTTATGCCGCAGTCATGCCCAAAGTCACGGTCTTTCAGGATCCACTCTGGATCAAACTGATATGGTAGAACCGACGCCGCTGGAGAATCAGCCACAACAGAGTTACAGCTGCTCAGGAGAGAGGGGTCTGTCTGCAGACCGCAGGACAGGGGCGGAACCTGGAGGGGCAGAACCGCTCTGGAGGCTGACCAATCAGAGCACACTAGGCTCTTTGGGAGGTGGAGCTTAAAGACACAGGAGCTCTAAAAGAGCGTTTCAGAAAGAGGGTGAATAGAGATGAACTGTATGAGGAAAATATTTTAGTTTTTTGGAACATTGAAGATGTAAATCTGTTCTAGTAGACCAAAAATAAAATTATGAACATTGTAAATGATATGTATAATATGAAAAAAATATTCTAAGCCTAATCTTAACAAAAAAGAACTGCTTTTTCGATTATAGAGCTCTTTACAAAGGTCAGGACTGTTTTGTTGGTTCTTTTGTTGAAGGTTTCTCAGGTTTTCTTACAAAGTCAGGACATTTTTTCCAAAAGTGTATAAACACACACACAGAGGATCCGTGTCTCCAGCAGGGGGTAAAATCACAGAATGCCTGGTGGCAGATGGTCAGTCATGCTTCAGTCA